CTGGAGGCAGCCGCCACTTGAGAGCGTGCCCCTTCTCCCGACGACCACTGGGTGTCGCCGGTGAACTGCGAGACCGGACCTGCAACTGAGAGCAGCCGTGAGGATTTCCCAGAGCTCCGCTGCACTCCCCTCATCGGCTGAGAAGATGTCGCATGGTGAGCAAGGCTTGGGGAAGGCCTGAATAAGTTCCTGGCTGGCTAGAGTAACAGGGGACAGGACATTAGGATCCGTGAGAGAGTGCTGTGTATATTTGTTTGAATAAAATCCTGTTTTCTGAAATAAGTCTCCTGAGTACTGTACTACTTACCCGTACTCGATTGAACCATAAATGCTCACGACATAGAGCCAAGGTAGTGGGTGTAAAAGCAGACATCCTCTAAGGGGCACATGTTGAGGGCCCTTCATAGATTCACTGGTATCAGATGGAAGTATTTTAACATTTACTTCCAATGGGACCTTACCCGGAGTTGTGGAACAAAAGAAAGGTTAATCCTCAGAACCTACAAACCTAGGTGGGCACTGGGACTCACTCAGGGCACTGTGGCTTGGATCTCTGCCTTGAGAGTTGGCCTACGTTGTGCCTCATGTCATCTGCCCACTGCCCACTCCTGCCAGGGACAGACCCTCTGCCTCGGGTGGGAAGGGCCCCTGTCCTTGAGTGTCTCTGCATTCACAGGCACCAGGGAAGGTGGAGGAAGAGGAGGCAAAGATGGTCCAAGCACTTTCACACGCTACAGGAGCATGTAAAGACAGCTACGGACTGGAAAGCCATCTCCCTGGCGGAGAGAGGAACAGCTGAATGTATCAGTGCTCTCACATTAAAACTTTAAAGATAAGGGAAATGCAAACATGCAACAAGGACAGAGAAGACTCCCAAAAATGAACTGTTATGCCAGGCATGATAGAGTACCCTCAGAATCCTAGCACTCGAGAGGCTGAGGCAAGAGGACTGTGAGTTCAGGGCTAGCCTGGGCTACATAGCAAGACCCCATCTCAAAAATGAAGGGTAGAGGGAAGAACTGTTAAGTTAAAGAAACAGTTTCAGCACAGTATTATGGAAACCTTAATTTTATATACTTAAAGGGTCTAGAAGGACACACAGGCCACAGGGGTAGCTAGGGTAGCTACAGGAGGCAGATGAGATGGGCCACACAAGAGGGAAGGAAGCACATGTGCTTTAGCTGAAAATGTTAAAATGCTGTTTTCCAGTGAACATACTCATGTGGCCCTGACCCCAACTCCTTGGACAAACTGACTTTCAACAGATCTAGAGAGGGCTACTGTGCTACCTGTGAGGCACACGAAGTCTGACCGAGAAGCAGGTCCCCTGGTGAGCACCAGGTTCCTGCAAATCTGTGTTGCATGACTTATGTAATCTTAGAGCTACTGTCCTGGAGCTGCTCAATGATGGGAATACGTTCCAAGAAATGCGCTGTTACACAATATGATCATGCAAACATCACAGAGTGCCTTCACACAATCAGCCACGGCTATGATGACAAAGTCTCATCAGACTCCACAGTGTCTATGGTCTGCTGTTGGCCCGAATGCTGAAATGCCATTGTGTGGCATAGCTGCTGCTCTTATGTAGTCTTGGAAAATTGTTTGCTTTTTTTTAATCTCCTGTGCCCTAAGGGGAAACTCTGACTCCTTTTCACTAGGTTGCTGATAACATAATCTGATTTCTCTCTATCCCAGTTTTGGAGCCTGATAAGATAAAGACAAGTGAAGGCAAGCCTGGGGTTAGAGTGGTGATATGCAGGGTCAAACTGTTAGGCCACCTGGGAGAATTCTCTACCTCAAAAAAACCTGATTCTGTCATTACTAATCCTTCTGGCAACACATGGGTCTGCCTGCCAGCTACAATGATGCAGGTAGCCTTTGGATAGCTATTGGGGCATGAGCCAGACAAGGGCAGGAGCGCACTTCTTCCCTCTCCTGGTGTTTCCAGTGGGGTGCTCCCCCAGAGTGACCTTTCCTGTCCTCAAGGAGGGGTAACCCACTGGATTTGTGGGATTGGAGCCAGCCTGTCCTCTCCTGCCTCCTGCAGACAGCCTGCCAGAAAGAGTAAGGGCAGTTCTGTGCTGCCCCCATGTGGTGACATAGTGGGGCTGCAGCTGTCCAGGCTGGACAGAGCCATCCAGAACTTAACGGATTTGCTTCAATAATTCCACAGTTCAGAGTAGAAAATCTACCTCCCTACAAATGAAATTCATATTCTCCAACAGAAACAAATATCACCAAGAGTGATATTTTCTGTTCCTTTTCCCCCCTCTAATCTTCTGTCCTGTTTTTCAGAGGTTCAGAACCGGGTGGCGGGGGGCAAGGGGTACTACTTCCTAGGCTCTTTTGAACTTTCAAAATGACAGTGAACAAGGTAGTAGAGCTCCAGGCCCACACTAATAGCCAGACTAATATCCCGTGCCGTATGCTTCAGAGACACCAGCAGGTTTCAGCTGGGCCCAGTGATGCGCCTTCACACAGCACAACTGGCTGGGACACTCGAGTGAGACAGCACCAGAGGAGTAGCTGTCAAGGACAAAAGGGGGTGGGGCTGACCCACACCCACTTATTTACCCCCAAACCAATGGCAACCTCATGACCCTAGAGTGGAGTTCATTCCCTTAAAAAATAAAACACAGAAGCAGCCTTCTTCTCCTCCCAAAGCATAACCCCTTTCAGTTCAATCACTAGACGTACCTCTAAACTGCGCCAACTTGCTTCTTCATGTCCTAACTCTGCACTCCCGAGACTGGTGGCACAAATTTACCTCGGGCATGTTCTGCCCCTCATCCTCTACTTATCTTGTAGAAAAGTCTCGGGAATGGTAGAGTACTTGCAGCTTTTACTGCCTGTCCCTAGGCAGGTGACTTGATAGAAAGAAAATGGTTATGGCTAAGTTAAACCTGGGTGCCTCCTTTCCCTAGTTTCTCATGCTTGGACAGAGTCTGAACCTCAATGCCAACAAACATCCAAGATGGCAGGACTAGTCTCTTGATGGATGATGCTAGTGATGGCTCATGGGACTCTACATCAGCTGTGACGTGCCCCTGCTCCTTTTTCCTGACACAAGCAAGGCATGTGTCTTAAAGATGCTGGCTGCAGACACAGAGCAAATGCAAACAAAAGGACGCTTGTATGTGAGAGATAGGCTAGGATTTTATATTGCAAACAAGAAAACACAAAGGATGTGAAGAATGAACAAATATACATGGGGAAGGAGGGCCGAGGGAGTGATCCTAGCTACACAGTTGCTGCTGGAAAGCTGTCGCTTCTGGTAAACAGGCTCTGCCCCAAACCTGACCTGCAGCTAGCCAGTGCACTCGGGGCCGGCTCTGCCAGTTCTAAGTATGGCTTGAAGCCTCTGACCCTAGAGGGCTCGCCAGAAAGGAAGTTGTTTTTCAAAAGCCTAGGTAAACATTTGCCTTACTGACCTTTAAAAAATGGCTGATTCTCTAAGATTTCTGCATGCTAAACCCTGTGGCCAATTGGACACCTGTAATCCTAGCTGCTTGGGAGGTAGTGATTAGGAGGATCGCAGTTCAAAGCCAGCCTGGGCAAACAATTTGTGAGACCTTCTTTCGAAAAAACTCATCACAAAAAAAGGACTGGCAGAGTGGCTCAAGTGATAGAACACCTGCCTAGCAAGACTAACAAGCATGAGGCCCTGAGTTCAAACCCCAGTTCAAAACCTGAAACTGTGACCAGATCCTAAAGCACAGGCTATGCAGCCTCTGTCACCTGTTGTTCATATGCATAGAGTGACTGACATAGCCAACAGATCTAGGGTGCAACTCTCTTCACTGGTGACTGACTGCATCCTTTCCATGGAGCCCTAGAGAGAAACCAGCCTCAGACCTCAGACCAGGATAACTGTGTGCAGCAGCTGTTCCCCAATCCACCTCTTTAAAAATGGATTTAACTGGTTTTTAATTTATACAAGAATAAGAATGATCCAGCTCCACCTCAATCCCACATGCCTCCAGATGTGCTGTCCTAAGAAGGGCACAACAGCACCTGGTTAACATCTAACCCAGATGTGTAACCTGAATCTAACAATGAAGCAACATCAATGACAAAAGGAGAAATTGTCTAGCTTTTTAAAAGGAGGGAAGACTTCCAAAATGACACCATAATGAAAGAGAAAGAAAAGACTAAGGAAAAACAGAGCACCTGCCCAGCAAGTACAAAGCCCTGAGTGCAACCCCCAGTACCACCGAAAACACCAACAAAACAAAAATTTAAGGAGGCAATGTGATCCTTGCCCCCAGCTGCTGGAAGGGGAAGAGCTAAAAGGGACAATGTTGGCTCAAGTGACAGAAGGGAAATGGACAGATTACATAAGACTCTAATGATGTCAAATGTATGGACACTGATAATTACATGCTTATGTAAGAGAATACTCTTAATCTTAAGAAATACACACTGACCCTGAGAGTATGCACAATTTTTTAATCTTTTAAAAATAAATTTAAAAACACGCATTGAAGTATTTGGGAGTGAAGGGCTGTAATATGTGTAACTGATCCTCAAATAGTTCAAACAACTGATTGTGTATGTACAGAGAGGGAGGGAGATAGAGAAAGAACAAACAAATGGGGTAAACTAACTGTTAATGAATCTGGGTAAAGTGTATACCTGTGTCCCCTGTGCTATTTTTGAAATTTTTCTGTAACTCTGCAACTATTCCAAGTCCAAAGAGCAAACAATAAACACCCCCAAAACAAAACAAAACACAAAGCCAGAGTGCTCTTTGCCAAGAGCACGGCTTCTCTCCATTTGTTCTGATTTCTGGGCCGTGGAGCCCAGTGAGCCTGGGAGGCCGCCCCTCAGCACATCCTCTCAGACACAACTCCTGCTACTGTGAGTTTCCAAGGCCTCCCACGCCAGCTGCCATGCAGCCTCTGGAATGTGATCATCTCGAGTGATTTCACTTTCCTTAGAGACTTTCATTTTTAACTGGGGGGACACACTGGGTACCCGCGTAGGTCCAGCCTCACCGTTCCAGGCCTAGTGAAGTCCATGCTGTGCGCCAGGCTCTGCCTCATCTGGTTACTGAAGAGGCGGACACAGACACTCTGCAGGTACTCGGGGGTAATCTGCAAGGACAAGAGGACATCTGATGAAGGGCATGCGTCTGGCTTCAGGACCTGAGGTGCACTGTCCCTCATCGCCTTCTGTGATGGAGTGGCTGAGCTGGAAAGGACCATTCGCCTTTAGCCTCAGAGCTCTTGGGAGGAATGAACACAGTGACCTGACACCTACAGGTGTGATCAGGGGCCATCGAGCTTCAAATGATGTAACTCCACTGCCAGCAAAAATAAAGAGATTTGAAACCATTTCTGTAAATCGAAGGAATAAAGTCACTCGGAGGCTACCAGGTGGTGGACAGATTGCCAGGCCTCAAGATTCTTGAGAAAACAAGCAGTTCTTCCCCTTGCGTTCCTGATCTGTTGAGTGAGATGAATGATGTCCACCTGCCCGGGTCATAGTGAGAGGCAAATGAGACCACAGATACGCCCAGCACATGACAGGTGGTAGGTAAATGCTTGCAGAGTGAATGACAGATACACTAGTAATAAATGGTCAAGTACTTGACAACACGAGCCTGCCTCACTGTCACCATCAAGGGTGCTACACTATGCTCCTCATCGGTACTGCAATTCAGGGTGGCTGGGCTGGAGGAATAGCTCAAGTTGCAGAGCACCTGCCTAGCAAGTGTGAGGCTCTGAGTTCAAACACCAATACTGCCAAAAAATCCCACAAAAGTATGACAGGATGGCTATGCAACATCTCAGGTGGTAATCTCTGCATTTTTTATCATTGCTTTTCATAAAAATACTAGGTGCTCATTTAAAATGTACATGTACCACACCCTCTCCTGAATCCACCCTTTCCTGACACACCAATCCCTGGGACCCTTAGCAAGCAGCACTCTTCCAAACTTTCTCTTTACCGTGCATGATGACCAGAGGGAGCCCCCTTTCCCTCAGCTGCACAATTCTACACGATACTGGACCTGGACTCTGCCTGGCCCCTCGCTCACTCCCATGGGAGGAGGGCTGCCCATACAACTGCAGGATGGAGCAGACCTGGGAATACTGACCTAGAGCCTCTTCTCTCCAGCTGGGGCTCCAGCCTACACCACTGCAAACTTCTGGCTTGTTTTAGCCATTATGCATTGGGTGTGCTAGTGCACAACTGTAATCCCAGCACTCAGAAAGCTAAGGCAGAAGGATCACAAGTTCAAAGCCAGCCTGGAATACAAAGTGAGCCATCTCAAAACGGTAACAAAACATACCTTCCTCCACATGAGGCTTCATCCTTAACTCAACTTCCCTCCCAACCAGGGACTCTGGAAGAACAGCCTGCCCTGTGTCTCCCCTTACTCACCTTTCAACCCCTGTAACTAAGCTTCCACTAATACCGGCAGCCTTCCAAAAGTCAGAGACACTGGGCCTTGTTCAGTTCTCATCTATTTGCTGTGGCTTCTGAGACTTTGGCTCAAGCCCTTCCTCCTGAAACTGTCCCCTCCTTTGACTGTCACTTCTGGAATTGCCATCACAACCATTTCTTTACAAGCAAACTTGATGTCATGGGCCAGCAGAATGGCTCAAGTACTGCCAAGAAAATTTGATGACATCATCTGCCTGCTTCAAACAAGCGAATGAGGAAAGGACATGAATAGAAAGTTGCCAAAAACAAAATATAAAGGCTGGGGTCATGGCTCAAGTGGTAGAGCACCTGAGCACCTGCCTAGCAAGCATGAGGCCCTGAGTTCATCTCCGCCAAACAGTGTGTGTGTGTGTGTGTGTGTGTGTGTAACTGGCCAACACAATATATGAAAATATATTCAGCCTCACACATAATTAAAGAATTAAAGAAATGTAAATTAAAACATTAAGAACACCAGTATCATTTACTAAATTGGTAAAGATTTCAAAGTTTTAAAAAAGTTTCTTGTTTTTGTTTTTGAGACAAGCCTCACTATGTACCCAGGCTGGCCTTGAACTCATGGTTCTCCTGCCTCAGCCTCCTGAGTACTGGTTTCCATGACTACTTCGGCCAGCTTCAGAGCTGAATCACAGTGCTGGCAAGAGTGTGGAGCGACAGGCACCCTGTGTACTGCTGAGGGGTGCACACTGCTGACATTTTTAGGAAAATAATTTGATAACATCTATCAAAATCTTAATGCACACATCTGACCAATGAATTCCACTTTCAGGATCTCAGCCCACCCACACTGAAAGGTATACAGCCAGACAAGGAAGTCACTGCAACATTTTTTCTTACAGCAAGAAAAAAAAATTTAAACATTCGACATTAGAGACTGCTAATGGTTCACCCTTATAAACAGAACCATGTACAAGCATAAGAGAGTGAGGAGATGGGTTCACAGGGCACACCGAGGAGGTGGGGTCACGGGGCGCACCGAGGAGGTGAGGTCACATGGCACACCAAGGAGGATGAGGTCACGGGACACAGCAAGGATGGTGAGGCCATGTGGGCACACTGAAAACGAAACAGCAAGTCTCAGAGGAGTGACAGGTCATATGATCTCAGCTAAGAATGTGCATGTGGCATGCTCACATACTCACAGACACACAAACATGCTGAAATAACACAAAAGAAAATGTTAATAGTGATACCAAAAAGGAAACGAGATGAAAGAATGTTGTGGAAGGGCTTACTATATGATCCTCTGCACGTTTTCAAATTTGCCCTCCCTCCCTTCCTTCTTTTCTTCCTCCCTCCTTTTCTCTTTGGTGGTACTGGGGTTTGAATTTAGGGCCAAGCAAAGGCAGGTGCTCTGCTGTACCCCTGGCCCTTTTTGCTTTAGTTATTTTTCATATATGGTCTTGCACTTTTGCCCAGACTGGCCTCAGACTTTGATCCCCTTACCTATGCCTCCTGAATATCTGGAATTACATTGGCATATCACCATACACACCATAACCAGCCTATTGAGATGGGTTGAGACGGGGTCTTGCTAACTTTTTTTGCCTAGAACTGCAGTTCTCCTGATCTCTGCTTCCTGAGTAGCTAGGATAACAGGCATGTACCTCCATCCCTGGCCCTATAAGCATGTATTTCTTTTACATTAAAGACTAGCTAGTTAAGAGTATACCCTCCCTGGTCTGCCCATCTTGATACTTGAGGCCTCTTCCCATCCCCACCTTTGTCACAATGTGAGAGGGGTCAGAGGCCCAGCCAGGATGGGGCACTTCTTATTCAATAGGAGAGGAGGCAAAAAGGTGGCGTCTGCTTTTCTGTTTTCTCTGCATCGCTTGACTTCTTCAGGTGCATCTGCTGTGGTTTCAATATGGCTTGTCCCTTCAAACTCATGGAATTTGATCCCCAATGTGACCATTAAGAAGTGGGGCACTTCCTTAACAGGAACTAATGCAGTTCTCTTAGCTAGGCAGTGGTGTCTCCTGCCCATAACCCTAGCTACTCAAGGGGTGGAGATTGGGAGGACTGAGGTTTGAGATCAGCTGAGGACCCCATCTTAATCAATAAAAATCTGGGCATGGTGGAGTACACCTGTCATTCCCTCTATATGGGAAGCATATATAGGCTGGCCTGGGCATAAAGGGAAGGCCCCATTTAAAAAATAACAGAGCCAAAAGAGCCAGGGTGTGGCTCAGGGGGCACAGCACCTGCCCAGCAAGCACAAGGCCCTGAGAGCAAGCCCTAGTACTGCACACACGTGAGATAAACAGGGTTCAGAAAGGTAGCTGGACACCAAGCAGACAGATGGAAACTGACAGGCCCCCACACACTGGGGCAGGGCATCTCCCTTATCCTTCTGTGGCAAGCGGCAAGCTGAGAGTGTGTGAGCTGTCAGCACGGTCTCTGTGACACAGAGGGCCAGCCCAGCTGCCCTCTCCTTACCATCTTGCCACTGACAGTGGCCTCTAGAGAATCCACCAGCTCGGCTGTGACCCCGATGAGGTTGTGGTAGTCTGCCTGGATCTTATTGTAGCGCTTCAGGTATGTCATTGACCGACGCTCAGCCTCCACCAGCTGCTGGTGAAGCTGCTGCAACATTTCTAGGAAGAGAGGTTACATTAAAGACTGGCAGAGTGGCTCAAGTGTAGAGCGCCTGCTTAGCAAGCATGAGGCCTAGAGTTCAAACCCCAGTACCTCAAAAAAACAAAACAAAACAAAAAACACCACAACCAACAAAAAACCACCAAAACCACACTGGAGAGTTTATACATTAAAGCCAAACATGAGAACACCAAAAACCCACAAAACAGGCCAGACCCCAACAAGGCAGCCCTGAAGAGAGGCCAAACTGCCAGGCCTTAGGGGCAGGAACCAAATTCTCACCATGTCAGCAATTCTTTGCCCTGTCCTACCATGTCAGTCAGCTTCCCACCGCTGTGACAAAATACCTGAGTGTCAATTTATTTTTTTATTTTTTTTTTCTTTTATTATTCATATGTGCATACAAGGCTTGGTTCATTTCTCCCCCCTGCCCCCACCCCCTCCCTTACCACCCACTCCACCCCCTCCCGCTCCCCCCCCTCAATACCCAGCAGAAACTATTTTCCCCTTATCTCTAATTTTGTTGTAGAGAGAGTATAAGCATTAATAGGAAGGAACAAGGGGTTTTGCTGGTTGAGATAAGGATAGCTATACAGGGCATTGACTCACATTGATTTCCTGTGCATGGGTGTTACCTTCTAGGTTAATTCTTTTTGATCTAACCTTTTCTCTAGTACCTGTTCCCCTTTTCCTATTGGCCTCAGTTGCTTTTAAGGTAGCTGCTTTAGTTTCTCTGCATTAAGGGCAACAAATGCTAGCTAGTTTTTTAGGTGTCTTACCTATCCTCACCCCTTCCTTGTGTGCTCTCGCGTTTATCATGTGCTCATAGTCCAATCCCCTTGTTGTGTTTGCCCTTGATCTAATGTCCACATATGAGGGAGAACATACGATTTTTGGTCTTTTGGGCCAGGCTAACCTCTACCTGAGTGTCAATTTAAAGGAGGAAAGGTTTGTTCTGGCTCACAGTTTCAGAGGCTTCAGTCCACAGTCAGTTGGCTTGCTGGTTTTTGGCCTGTGGCAGCCCAGAACAGCATGGCAGGAGCAAGTGGCAGAGGAAGCTTTTTCACCCCACAGTGGCCAGGAAACAAAGAGAGACAGGAAGGGACCAGAGTCCCATTATCTCCATCATTGAGGTATGCCCCAATGACCTAACTTCCTTCCACTAGGCCCCAACTCCCAAAGGCTCCACTACCTCCATGGGCTGATGGAGAACACTTTAGATACGAACTATACTACCTATGCCTCTTCCTTTGTAGAAGGCTCCATTTGGACCGAAGAAGGTAACACTGCCCTGAAACCCAAGTCAACTCATTACTGCATTGATTCAGGCACTGTGTATATTTAAAGTCTTCATTTTAGAATAGACTTCATGGATCTAGAGAGAGATTTTAAAATTAAAATTAAGATGTGGGATCAAGTACACTGACTCAGCCTATAAATCCAGCTACTCAGGAGGCAGGGATCGAGAGGACTGTGGTTACACTCCTGTTGGGACAAAAAAAGTTCTCAAGACCCCATCTCAACCAACAGCTGGGCGTGGTGTGCATGCCTGTCATCCCAGCTACACCGGTAAGCACAAATAGGAGGGTCATGGCCCAGGCCAGCCCAGCATAAAGTGAGGCCCTATCTCAAAAATAACCAATGCAGAGCTGTGAGGATGGCTCAAAAGGTGAGTGCCTGCCTAGCAAATGTGAGATGGAGTTCAAACCCAGTACTGAAAAAATAAATAAATAAAATAAACTAAGACCTGGACTCAAATTCCTATCCCACCATATTATTGCTGGGCAACAGTAGGCAAAATATTTAACTTCTCTGATCCTTGCTTCCTACAAATTTTATATTCCTGTAAATTGGGGATAGTGCTAATTAACTTGAAGGGTTACTGTGATGATCAGCCAAAGGAGGTGATGGCAGCTGTTATTTCTCTTCATAGAAAGGAGTCACGGACTTGGCACTAAAACACCCTTCCATGCAGGTATCGAGCTTGAGAAGGTGGTGGCCAGGCTGCAGCCTCAGTGGCATGAAACTCCACCACTTATTAGAGCTGTCCAGAGGTCCATGCTCAGACTGACTGTGGGGATCCAGGGGATCTGAATGCTTTTTCAATGAACTCCTCAAATGGCTGGAGGTCCGCTGTCCTGAATTACCCAGTCTTCCACACTTGTGTCCTGAATAGCTACATGGCTCACCCATGTGAGAACTGCACTCCAGAAAGACTTCACATCTCACAACTGCTTAGTGCAGAAGAAAAATACTTTTACAATCAAAACCTACAATAATGGAGACACCCCTTTGAACACTGACTTTGGAATTAAAAAGAACAGGTCAATAAAATAGGTCCAGAGGTGAGGGATACTTGAGGAAGGGGGTGGTGAATGAAGGAATTGAAGGAGGATGAATATGGTCGATGTGCTTTGTATACATATGTGGTATAAAACAATGAAACAAGCACGGTGCCAGTGGCTCATTCCTGTAATCCTAGTTATTCAGGAGGCAGAGATCAGGAGGATTGTGGTTCAAGGCCAGCTTGGGCAAACAGTTCATGAGACCCTATCTCCAAAAAACCCTTTACAAGAAACAGGGCTGGTGGAGTGGCTCAAGGTGAAGGCCCTGAGTTCAAGCCCCAGTGCCGCAAAAAAAAAAAAAAAAAGGAAAAGAAAAAGAAACATTTTGCAACTGTTTTAGGTGGGGCAGGGAGGGGGTGAGGGGGGGAGAGGGTGAGGGCAATGTAAGGCTATTCAGAAATGTCAGATGACTTCCCCCTGCATGAATAATGTATGCTAATAAAAATGAGAAAAAAATAAATAAAACCTAAAATATTGCTCCAGGTGCCAGTGACTCACGCCTGTAATCCTAGCTACTTGGGAGACTGAGATTGGGAGGATCACAGTAAGAGGCCAGCCCAGGCAAACAGTTCACAAGATCCAATCTCTAAAATAACTAGACCAAAATGGACTGGAGGCGTGGCTCAAGCAGTAGAGCACCTACTTTGCAAGGATGAAGCCCTGAGTTCAAACCCCAGTCCCATTAAAAAAAGTAAATGGTTGGTAGAGATGAGCACTGATAAAAAGAAGTCATGTGCTTTGCAATGAGCCAACAGGAAAATGCCTGGACAATGCCCCAGAAATCTATGAGGGTGCCCTGCACCCCACACAGCACAGACCCAGAGAGGTAGAAACACAAATATTTGTTTCAGATTTTCCAGGACAGAATCTTTTCAAAAATGGGCCCTGGAGAACCCTACCCCCCAAGACAGCCTCAGGGTTCATTTCTGTGTTGGGCCTTGCAGCAAGGCCCTCCTAGATTGCTGCACTGAGGCTCAAGTGCATGGGCACCTCTCACACTCGCAAGAGACCCGGCAGCATTCACAATGCTGATTTTGTAGGCGTGTGGAATAAAAGAATTAATTATGGGGTCATGGTGGCTTCTAAAGGACTTCAAAGGAAAGCCTATGAGGCCAGGCAGTGTGTGTGGGGTCAGAGTCCCTGGACGCAGCTCCCCAGTGGGGCAATGCATAGTAAACTGCGGGAGTGAAGCCAGAGCTATCGTGGAGACCCTAGGAAGGCAGAGGCACCTGTGATGGCAACACCTACTGAGGTCAGCTGCGGACCATATGCTGAGTAGCTAGCAAGTGGCCACGTGGACTGCAGCCTGCAAAGCCACAGGGGCAAAGCCACGGAACCGCCTGTGTGCATCCCACATATGGGAAATGCAGCATTGGGGTTTAGTGTTTGCCCTGCTGGGCTGGGACCTTGCTTTAGGTGGATCCCACCTACCTATTTACTACCTATCTACTCCTCCTTTTTCCATGAGGAACGTTCATCTGTGCACAACCCACTACTGAATCTTGGCATATGTAACTCTTTTTCAATAGTGGCTCGCAGCTGAGTCTGTCTGAAGTCTCAGGTAAGTTTGTGGACTGGATTTTGGAGTAATGTTAGAACACTGAAGACCGAGACTCTTGAGGACAGAATGAATGCATTTTCACTGTGGGATGGACATGAATCTTTGGGGGCTAGGGCCGAAATACCACAGTTTGGATAAGGTCCCCCAAAGACCCAGGTGTTTGGGGCCTGGTTCCTAGGGTGATGCTGTGGGAGTTCACGAAGCGTTTAGGAAGACTCCAAACTGTCCTGTTCACACTATCTCTGCTTCCCAGTTCATGATGTAAGAGGTCTGCTCTACACGTGCTCTCCCAACCCCATGAACATCAGGGGCCCTAGCCAGAAGCCCAAAGCAGTGAGGCCACCCAATTCTAGACTGGAATCTTCAGAGTTGTGAGCTAAATAAAATTTTTCTCCTTATAAGTTAACTGCCTTAGGTATTTCATTATAGTGACAAGAAACACACAAGGCTACCAAAGGCAAAAACAAACATCCAAAGCCTTCTGGTCTTAAATTACCAAGACTCTCCTTATGTGGCAAAGCTAACCTACTACTTACGTGTCAGATGCCTGGTGAGCAAAGAGTTAAATAATGTACTAACACTACCTTTCTTTTTAGAAAGTTTAATTCTAAAACAGCAGCACAGAAAAATGAAGGCAGAAAATTTGGAAATCCTCTCTGATGTTACTCTTCTTTGAACAGGGCAAATGTGTTATGTTATTTCATGAACAAAAAACTTTGTGTAATAAAACTCCACCTGATAAGAATTGTGCCATCGATACTTATAGGTGGTGTGTGCCTATAATCCCAGTGGCTTAGGAGGTAGAGAAGAGGATCAAGGTTTGAGGCCAGCTCAGGAAAACTTAGCTCGAGATCCTATGGAAGAACAAACTAGAAAGCAAAAGGACTAGCAGAGTGGCTCAAGTGGTAGAGCACCTGCCTAGCAAGCACGAGGCTAAGTTCAAACCCCACTACCACAATAAATAAATAGCTGGGTGCCAGTGGCTCATGCCTGTGATCCTAGCTACTCAAGAGGCAGAGATCAGGAGGATCATGGTTTGAAGCCAGCCCCAGGCAAATAGTTCATGAGACCCTATCTCGAAAAAACCTATCACAAAAAAAAAGGCTGTTGGAGTGCTCAAGGTATAGGCCCTGAGTTCAAATCCCAGTTCTGCCATAAATAAATAAATAAAGTGCATGAAGCTTCCCAACATAATTTCAGCAGTTTTCAAAGTGTAGTGTCAACAACAAAAGTGAAGCAAAGCCCCCCAACTGAGGCCACCAAGTTTGTACTAACTAGGTTTTTTCACCTTACTGAAAAGTGAACAGGTTTGGTAAAAATTGACCCCGAAAAACATTATTTTATGTGAAAACACAAGACTGGATTTCCTACTTTGAATGTAAGAAATGTAAATGCTTTCTAAGAATGGGTATTCTGTGTTGCTAATGAGGTAAGAGCCCATTTGCAGAGTTCAAGGTAAAAGTTAAGACGTTACAATAATGCCTTCCCCATCCAGGCTTCCCTGCTTCTCATCTCGGGACTGAGTGCCGCAGTCCTCTCCTCTGGGATGCTGCTAGGTCTCCACATCTCTCCACTCCTTAGCTACCTAACATGCAAGGCGAACCTGGCAACAGCAGCCGCCCTGGACGGTGGGACACAAGGAACTGCAGATGATTACAGAGAGCTTTGTAAATATTTAGACTTTCAAAGCCCTCATTTGCCAAACCCATGAATCCTTTCCATTTCTGTCCCTTCTCACAGCTCGAAACTCCAATTGCAAAGTTGTTCTTTTTTTTTTTTTTTTTGGTAGAACTGGTGTTTGAATTCAGGACTTCATACTTGCAAAGTAGGCACTCTACCTACTTGAGCCATACCTCCAGTCCAACAAAGTTGTTCTTATAGAAGTTGTAACCATGAAGATTTACCTTTGTTATTTTGTCCATTCTCCTTCTGGATGAGAAAGGAGCTAAGGAAAACAGGAATTAAGGGTACCTTGTGCTGTGTGGCCATGTGAGAAAGAGCCTCGTTAAGAGAGAGACTTCTCAGGCCAGTCCCAAAGGCTGCTGTAAATAGTAAGACAGTCAACAGTTGCTCATATGTTGGTGAGTGGCTCCCAAATGACCCCCACCTCTGTCCACGTCATGAGCTGTGTGGATCAAGCCTCGTGCTGTTCCCTTAACCTCCTAACTGGCCATCTCACCCCTTTGAAAGGCTTTCCACTGTTCCTAAGGTTCTAAAGATGAAAATATGAATTCAGACCCATTAACACAGTAGCCAGTTCCAAAGCTTCATCCTGAGGAACTGAGGCTGCAGTGATGACAGTGGCTAAGGCTACAGGCTCTGGAGCCAGACTGGCTGGGTTCAAATCTCACCTCCCACACGTCTGGATGCATGATTGAAGGCAAGTTATTTTAAATGGTTCTTATTCTTTTTCCTTACTTTATCTTAATTAACTTTTTCTTAATTTTCGGGTAACAGCTTTATTCACATATTATATAATTCACTCACTTAAAGTGTACATTGCAGTTGTTTTTCAGTATATTCAGAGTCCTACAACCAATGTTTTTTCTTTTTATGTGCTGGGGCTCAAACCCAGGGCCTTGCACATGCAAGGCAAGTGCTCTACCACTGAGCTACATCCCCCATCCAGTATGAAATGCTTCCAGCATGGAACATGCTTATTCTAAATAAAGAGAGACATGTGTCCATACAGAAGAATAACCTTTGGGAAATTGGTCTCCAGTGGGTGAGATGACCGAATATTCTGCTGTTCTTGGAACAGGCCCCATTTATAGCTGTGACCCTGGTACTATGTCCAGTTATTACCTCTCCGTGCTTTCAAAAGTGTCCCCATTGGACTGGGCTATGAAGATAACTGTACGACTCTGTAATTTGCTAAAAATCAGTGAATTATATCTTATAGTGGGTAAATTTTGTGGTATATAAATTACACAACAATATATAAATTGATGTATATAAATTACATCAACAAAGTTGTTTAAAAAGAAGTCCCAGCCATGTGTGGTGGCACATGCCTGTAATCCCAACACTTGGGAGGTAGAGACAGGAGGATGGAGAGTTTGAGGCCAGCCTGGGTGACATAGTGAGACCCTGTCTCAAAAAATCAAGTGCCAGGGATATAGCTCAGTGGTAGAGAAAAAAAGAAAGGAAATCCCAATTTGAGTGACAAGTGAAATCCATATGCCATGACCTCCAGGCCTCCAAAGTGGTTGACTGACCTTCTGCAAAGAAAAATTCCAGAATTTTTTCCCTACCAAATCTGTTTCTTGGCCTGTGACATCAAAATAAGATCCAATGTCACAGAAGTCGATCCTTTCCAGGCCTTGCATGGCCTCCCATTAATGCTCTACTCACTGTGTACATGTGAAAGCAGTGGATTTATGGCCGGCGACCCCTGTCTGTTGCTGCCCTAAACCAGAGTGCTGCTCTAACACCCATGGTCTCCATGCTTCAAAAGGATACATAGATGGTCAAAAGCTTTGGTGTGTTACTGGCTTTAAAAATTAAAGCTAGAAATTTTTCTAGCTTCAACTTTAACTCTGGAGTCCAAGAATCCTGAAGGAAAAACAAAGAAACACAACATAAAAACATCAGCTCTCTCAATGTCAACAATACCATCGAGGTGTGGTAGCAAAATGGCCCTGCCAGTTACTGAAGCCAAAAGCAAGATGTCTTGCCAGTAATATGAGCATGGAAAACAGGCTTTGGGACATATGACCAGTTCATTTATAGATGATCCAAGTACCCACAGCAGGAGAAAAAACTCGCACATGATTTGAATAGTTCGTGTGATTAAACACAAGCATGACAAGTGCCCTTATTAGGTTGAATACCAAAAATGATTCAGTGAGGTTTAGGCACGCATGGCACTGGTCGACATAACACAGACAATCATCTCTAAGTTACTGAGAAACTTCCAGAAAAAGGGAGTCTAGACAAGGAAGGGCAGAAGCTGTTACCTACCCTGCCACAAGTACCTCAGATTGTGTCACACACAATTTGATCTGGCTCTTGGAAATCCATTACTTGTCTTAACTAATACTCATTAAAAGAAGAAAAAATAATGACAGTAATAGCAAAAGAAGTGTAGCAAGTAATGATTTTTCTTTTCATTTTCTCAATATGTAGCCCCAGTTGACCTAGAACTCATGATCCTTCTGCCTCAGCCTGGGTGCTGGGCTTACAGGCAAGCACTACCACACCTGGCCTTGCAACCATCTTTCTCAGGACAATTTCTTTTATACTGTGCATACAAAAATATCTTCCACCCAAACCAGTTCCACAAGAGCAGCTATCCCACTACAAATCCATGTCCACTCCCTCTTGGATCCCAACCCATCACCCTCTGACAGGCTCATCCTTCTCCACTATCTCTGCTCCCTAGCTCTGTATCCTCCACACTTTTCATGCCCTTCCATCCCATATGTCATCTGGGGTTTGGAAACAATCCTGCCAGATGAGCAGAAAATCTGTATATCTTCAAAAGATTTTTTTTTTTTTTGAGGTACTGGGGCTTAAACTCAGGGCCTTCACCTCGAGCCCCTCCACCAGTCTTATTTTTGTGAAGGGTTTTTGAGATAAGGTCTCACAGAACTATTTGCCCAGGCTGGCTTCAAATCATGACCCTCCTGATCTCTGCCTCCTGAGTAGCTAGGATTATAGGCATGAGACACCGGCGCCCACTCAAAAGATGTTTTAACTCCCTGACACTGCGTGAGATTTTTGTTTGTAATGTATGTTGTTACAGGTGAATTGTGTTCCTACATAGACATGGTGAAGTCTGGTTCTCAGGATGTGAGGTCATTGGGATTGGGGTTGTTGGAGATGTAACCACAGTGAAGAAGAGGTTATACTGCAGTGGGTGGGCCATTAACCCAGTGTGACTGCATCCTTACAAGAAGAAATTCAGACACAAAAGAAAGATGGCCTGTGAGTATGGATGCAGAGCCTGGAGTGATGTGGTCACCTGATGGGGCCACTGGAAGCAGAGAGAATAAAAAAAGAACACTGACCTAGAGCTTGCAGAGGGAGTGCAGCCTGCCCACACCTTGGTCTCTGGCATCTGGCCCCTGATGTGCAAGACATAAGTTTCCCTTGTCCAGTCCCTTGGCCCTTCATTCTCTGTTCGGGCAGCCCTATGAAAGCAATGAAGTGTGCTGCAGCTCGGGGGGCTTTCTATGCTTGACCATCTATAAAGAATCTCAAGAGAGTGCTGCCATGGCGGCCATGCAAACCAAGACATCTTAAAAACAATCAAAATCGTGTATTTGGGACCCATGCACCTTAGGTTAGGTTGCATTTCATGTAACCAATAAATATGTATTTTCAAATTAATTACTGCTCTGAGGATAGTCTGCTAATGACAGTGTAAGATTAGAATAAAACTTCTCTGAGCGTGAATCCTTTTTTTTTTTCTAGAGTGTTCTCTTCTCTTCTGTGCTTTCAGCTTTGAAAAGAAGAACACTTCCCGAGTCTGATGGGCACTTGAGACCATGATTCCAAAAAGAGATGTGCAGAGCCAGAAGTGCTGGGCCGGTTCTGCTGACTGGTCTTGGGGAAGCCACTCACCATCTTTCTCCTAGTTTCACCCCTTGTAGAACCACAGGCTTTAAAGTGAATTGGTGGCTGCCTGTTTTTTCAGCAGCAGAACCCTTCTGATCATTCCAAATGTTACACACAAAATGAATCATAGCAAATTACCGTGGAAGTGGTGGCAGGACCAGGGCTCACTTACCTTGGTTTCCCTGTGGCCTTCCTTGGCTATTCCTTTAAATCTTCAGTAGCTAAGCTGAACTCAGTCCCTAGCACACAACAGTTGCTCAGAAGTTTTCCCCAAAATAATCAATTATAGAGATTCCCAAGTATTTCCGCAGAAAAGAACTCATTATAAACTCTACAAAGGATTTTCCTTTTCTTTTCACACTGCAGAGTGGATAATTTGGAAAAGCAATAAAAATAAAAGACCTGGATGAATTGAAGAGCATCTTTTTTAAACACACCAGAGTGGCAAAACAGAACTTCAGAGGCCTAACGTAAAGCAAAAGCTGGAACTTTGAACATTCAGGAGCAAGAGAGACAGCTTTTGCTCTAAAGATAACTGCAAGAGAAGGCAGCTGGGCACGTGTGGTGACACACACTTAGAAGGCTAGGAGGAGGACCGCAGGTTAGAGGTCCAGGCTACATATCGAGACCCTGTCTCAAAAAAAATGAAAAAACCAGAGCAGAACAAAAAACTCCCTGCAGAATCTTGAGGACCTTCAGGTTTGGTTCTGGAAGCTGGAAGACCATGGGATCTACTCTGGCCATGCACACAGAAGGCCCCAGCATAAATCCAGGACCACAAAGGGCTACGCCATTAGTAAAAAGTTAAGAACAAATAAACCCACTGTACAGAAAGGACAGCAAGAAAATACACTTGGGTCTGACCTTAATACTAGGGGTGAGGAGGGAAAAACCTCACTTGAGACTCCATAGCCACACTCAGTACCAAGACAAGACTGCAGCTGAGATTCAAACCATCTGTGCAGTCCCCAAAACCTTCAGCAAAGAATGTGACTTCACATAGTCCTGGGTTGGCTAACACCAAAGTGACTGGGAGATGCAAATGGAGAAGGCCTCAAGAAAATCCCTGCTAGGTCCAGGTAAAACAAATGAACTCACTGTCCAAACTAAAACATAAGCAAATAAAAGTCAAAACAGTAAGGCATCGTGACAGCACAAATACAGCATAGCAGGATCAAACCAACAAAAGATTTTGGATATTAAAATTAACAAAGAATGTGAAATAAATGTTTAATATGTTAAAGACATAAGACAGCAAGGGATGAGAGAATATAAAAATGACCCAACAAATGTGAATTAAAAACAAAAGAATCTTCTAGAAAAAAACATTCATAACTGAAATTACATAGTCAATGAGAAGCTAACAAACAGATTAAACAAGTGAAGGGTTAATCTGTGACCTGGAAGACTACTGTGAGTAGATCACCCAGAATGCAGCAGAGATCAGGAGATGGAAAATAGGAATATACTCTACAGAAATGTATTCTTAAAAATGGCCAAAATGGTAAATTTTATGTTTTATGTATTTTACCACAGGGTCTTTTTTTTAATGAAGGAGGAAAAAAAGACATGGAGGTTATAATGATAAGTTCAATGCACATTTGATCAGATATGTAGAAGAGATGATAAACAGGGAAGAAGTAATAAAGAGACAGACAGACTCTTCCAGAGTTGCCGAAAGACACAAACTACCACACTCAGGAAGTCCAACAAATTCCAAAAGAATGCCGGATGCTGGTGGCTCACGCCTGTAATCCTAGCTACTCAGGAGGCAGAGATCAGGAGGACTGAGGTTGGAAGCCAGCCTGGGCAAATAGATCATGAGATGCTATCTTGAAAAAACCTAACACAAAATAAGCCTGGTGGAAAGGAGTGCCTGCCTACCAAGTGTGAGGCCCCGAGTTCAAACCCTATTATGGTAAAAAAAAAAAAAAAAAGAAATTAAAAAAAAATTCCAAGTGAAAATAGAAATCTATCCCTGGACACACTGAAGTGAAATTATGAAAAAGACAGCTCACCTACAAAGGAACAAACAGTGCTTAGAATGACCACCAACTTTAAAGTGGCAACCGTGGGGAACAGGAGACGGTGTTTTAAGTATAACCGAATTACCCTTTTGATGCTTACAAAAGATATACCTTGTGATTAAAAAATCGTATTTTATGACACGGGAGTGTTTTAACATGTAATGTAAGAGCAGTTGCTAGGGCTGAGGCGTTGGGGGCAGGGTGACTATAAAGGGGCCCAACCACACAGTTCTTTTGGATAATTAATGCAAAAATTATGCATCTTGATCGTGGTAGTAGTAGTTACATGAATCAATGCACATGTTAAAAATTCATGGTACTGTACATCCTCAAAAGTTAATTTTACTATTTAAAAAATAAAATTAAAAAAATGCCAATCAGGTAGGCAAGACCTCTTGCTGTCTATAAAACTGTTCTGACACTGATACATGTCTAAACTACTTGTGTTTGCTTTGCCATGTCTGTAAAGGACTCGCACAGCATGTGCTCTCCTGTGTAGCGTGACTCCGTTCACTCATTCTCACAGATGCACAGTGCTCCACTGTGTAACTACTACCAGTTTATTTATGCATGCTCCTGCTGGTGTATAGCTGGGTTGCTTCTAGCTTTTGCTATTAGGAATAGTGTTACTGTATGAACATATCTGTATCTCTTTCAGATTTACATATGTGTACAAGAACGTACACCACAGCTAGTACAGGATAGCAAAGAGTAAGTCAAGCGCTAGCTACCAATCCAACAGGAGACTGATTAAATAAATTAGGGTTACAATTTAGGGCTACAGTAAGAGCAAATCTGAATTTTTTAAAGCATCATTCAGAAATCACCAGTACATACAAGGTGAAGTCACAATGTTGCCCAGGCACTGACACAAGATTCAGAGACTGTCACTTACCTGGAAGAGTTCTTTAAATGAGGGGTGGACCATAGGGTTGGGCACAAAAGGGAGGGCATAGAAAGGAAGGAACTCCGTGGTTTGGCTCAGTGCTGCCCCTTTCGTCTCCAGGTAGGTTTTGAAATAAGACATCTTTTCATCTAACTCCTGCTTGTCCTAGAGGAAGGAAGGCACTTATTTGGGTGTCAGGTGCTATGCTCAGTCCTCCTACCCCACCTTCTCTGTGAGGCTCCTTATCCCAGCCACACTGTGGCATTGTCCCCATATGGCCTGTTAAGTGCACTGTCTAGCCCTTAGTGAAATGTGGACAGGAATACAGAGACCTAGAGTGCGGTTCAATCCTCTGCACTTTTACTTCAGGACCACAATTTTCTCACATCTTTGTAATTCTTCATGAGCATCATTTTTAGTGACAGGACAAAACCCCATCTTGTCTACCATAATTTATGTGACAAATTCTCCCATTATTGGACATGCCCACTGTTTCCAATTCCAGATGTACATAAATTATTTGTCTGCTTTCCCGTGATTCCCTCAGGTGAGGCTTCTGAAGGGGAAGAGGTATGTCTTCATAGTGTCTTGAAACCGAAGCATCCCTCTCATTATTCCTTCCCCATGTGAAGCTAAGGACTTATCTTTCCTCACCTCACTATTCCATGTGTGACACAGTACAAGTACTCTCCCAATGAGGACACCAAAGTGTTGGGTTTGTGCTCATGAGCACACCTCACTTCTAAGCACTAGACTTAAATATAGATTAAAAAATTGATTTTTATTTTACATCAAAACAGAAAAAAATTTAAAACAAAAATAAAAGCAAAAACAGTGCCATGACCTTCCTGATGGGAGTCATATTTTGAAGAACAGCCTCCAAGAACAGCTACCACAAGGTACTGCAAGGCTGCACCCTCTACTACTGTCCTATCCTTTGGAGTCCCTGAAATCCATTTAGTTCACATAAGTCCACAGGGCAGTGTTAACATGCGGGTCACGTCCCCACCTTGCCCAACCTGGCAGAAGGCTGCAGAAGCTAAGCTCAACCTGCAAACTCTCTACAGACAGGCATACTTTCTCCACGACTCATTTATAAACTACATTCCGGTATACAGTCCACTATGCAGCCCAAATATGGGTTCTCATAGTCATACAGGTATATACACTAAGTTGCCAAATTTAAAAAAAAAAAAAAACTATTTTGATGAGCTTTCAAAAGCTTGAAGTATTCAGGAAAACAATGTAGCTTTGATTACAGAAAGTATTAAATCTCCATATAAATAAGAAAAGCAACTGTTGGGCATGAGGTGGAAAATCATTTCTCTGGACTCAAGATGCCCACATCTTGTAAAACAAAACAAAACAGAAAACATGATAAAGTGTCCATAGAATTAAAGCAATGCTCCCTAGGAAAACCTAACAGCTAGCACACCATTTGGGCCAACCCAGATCACAAGTTAACCTACCAGTCTCCCAACACAGTGTTTCAGAAGATAGATGGCAAAATGGATGTGAAGGTAGAATTCCAACTTCTGGGCAAGGGAGTCGCCATCTCGGATGGAGCTGGGAATGTGCTCTTCCCACAAATCGAAGAACACCTTCTGCTCTCCGTTGTCAAATGCAGTCAAGAGATCCTTCTGGAAAAGACATCAGACTGAATGCTAGTCATAGAGGATACCTATTCTTCCAACACCAAAAATTGTCAGCCAGCAACTACCACACACTCCTTTTCAGAGGCAGCAGGTGAAACTCAGACTCGGATTCTTAGGCTGAGGTTGCTGTGATCAGTGCGCCCACTCCCCACTGTGAAGCCCTTCACAGTACCAATTCTGGACCCTCTAAGAACAGAAGAAACATAGTCTCTGAAAAGACCAGGCAGAAGACAGAGATCTGAGGCCAGAGAACTCAGACACATGAATACACCAAAGTCACCCTGTGACTTGCTGTCCCACAGATCCACAGATGTGAATTACTAGTTACTTTTCTTGTAGTTGTGCCAAAAATACATGGGAGAACAACTTAAGTGATTAAAGATTTGCTCTGGCTCATGGTAGCACAGTGTTTTTCTACGGCTGCTTGGCCACACACACTTAAGAGAAGCGTGGCGTAGGACCTTCTCACCTCATGGTGGATAGGAAGCAGAGAGAGAAAAAGTTACTAGGGACCAGGTATAACCTTAAAAGGTAGATGCCCCCCAGTGACCTACTTCCTCCAACTAGGCCCACCTCCGAAAGTTTCCAGACCCTTCCAAAACAGTGTTACCAGCTGGAGACCAAGCATTCAACACATAAGCCTATAGGGGGTATTTCATGTTTAAACCATAACAGCATGCACTAGATAAAACAGGCCAACCAAAAGTCCAGCCAGGCCTCACCAGAACAAACCTCACACACACAGTTGCTACTGACAGCACAACTCCCAAGCTCCCATGGTCTGGAGCTTGGGATGGACACAGGCCTGATACTTCCAGGCCCAAGAGGCTCTGCTCACCACCAATAAGCATTAAGTCCCCTCTGTTGCTAGAAGCATGTCTAACTGCTATAGCACTGTAGGAAGCCACCACAGACCCAGACACACCATAAGGTGACTGACTGTCAGTGCTGGCCAGCTGCAGCAATGGAGTACAGGTTGGCGTGGAGGAAGGCACACAGGCTTGCCACCATCCATCTGAAGAGCTGTGTGAGCCACTATGTGGACTGGACAATGTCACAACTTACTGTGCAGTAGTTGAAAGAGAACTCTGGAAAAAAGAGGGGTAGTTATCATGCACCTGCCTCACAAGAAGATAAATGGCCTGCTGCATAAAACTGTGGATTTAGGTACAAGGTAGAATTGAAAGAACTTCCTACAGTCCAAAACAGTGTGTGATACATACTGTTTTCCTGTTGATGTTGAACACTTAAGATATTTAAGCCTACATTTTGTGCTTAATTGTAAAAGCTTTTTAGACTGGATTTCCTGTAGAATCACCAACTCCCCACCCAGCACCATGATTATTTGGCCACTGTTCCTTTATAGTTTTTTAAATGGTTGTATATATAATTTTCCTGTGTAATTTTTCCTGTATGGTTGCTATTTTTTAGGTTACTTGTTTTGTTTATAATCAAGTTTGTTTACAGAATGAAAATGCATGTAGAACAACGTTGCAGTGTCTGGTTACACTAAGGTCAAAGACAGTCATTCACAAGGACCCTCAAATGGGATTATGGAACCATGTCATGTGATGGAGAACAACTGCCTCAGAACACTACCTTCCTCAGAGGGATTGGCACACACTTGAGGAGAACTCAGAGCTTTTCAAAATGAGCCCCACAGTAAAATTCCACCTCCTCAAAGCCAACCTTTATGCTGCTCAGCCTTTGAAAGAGACAAAAGGCAGCCCATTAGGGACTGCCAAAACAAAGCACAAGCAGTCGTGCACAGACTCTTTGGAGACCCTGGGGGAACTGGACAGAGGCTCTACCCTCTCTTGTGAATGAAGGATGCAATGGTCAAGTGAATCTTCCCAGGGGTAGCAGTGTTGGCTCAGCCCCCAGCTCCCTTCTACTGAGCCCCAGCAAAACCTGAGAGCCACTCTGGGGAGGTCTTTGCCCTGAGAGGCGCACACCAAGACTCTCTGATTGTGTGAATTAAGTGGGCACAGACACTCTGGTATTTTCAAGCTTGGAATCATGGAATTTTCTTAATGTGGCTAGGCAGAGTCAACAGAGCAAATGACCCATCTACAGTTTGTTCTAAATTCTATGTTGGTAGACCTGAAACTGCAAGCCCTGGCTATGTCATTATAATCATGTCTACTACTCATCTCAACTTCTGATTCAGACTCTATACCTTTTATATGGTCCTTGCATTTAAAACAATAGCAAGACCTGACTCAAAAAAGGAAGGAAATCATCTCATTACATACTACAACATGAATGAGCCTTGAGGACTTTATGCTGAGAAAATAAGCCAGTATGCTTATCTAAAATAGTCAAATTCACAGACAGGAAGGAGAAAGCGTTGGCAAGGAGTTGGGGGAAGAAAAAGAAGGACACAGAGTTTCAGAGGTGCAAATGAGGAAATTTCACAATGCAGATATTAACACTACTGAACTGGACACTTAAAAATTGTTAAGATATTATGTTATTTTTAAAATCACAATTTAAAAAAAATACCCAGAGACATTTTAGCGTTCTCAGAGGCAGCTGGAGCTAAGCATGGTGGCAAAGCCAGCTGGAGGCCCCAAATGTGCAAAGCTTCACAACACGGAGCTTGCTGGCTTTACCCTGCGTGGGCTCATGACCTGGTCATGTGTGAGTCTCACAGAAGATTCCCCTTGTTCCACTACTTAGGGACTGAGGACTTGTCATCTTCCTCCCAAATGTGAGTCTTAACAGGAGGGGCTCACATGCCTCTACTGTGCAGGAGACAGTGGGTGCATATTCTCCAGGCAGAGGCACTGGGAACCAGATGCTGGGAGTGAGGTCCATTTTCCCAAAACCATGCTTCACTCCAACAACCTATTTCCACCTCTAATGGCGACTATAATGTTAGTTTTTGAAATTTTGCTGTAGTTGGGAAGGCAGCAGGTAGGTCTGGCTGCTGTAGCTTCTACAAAGGAATCTGTCTGAAGCAGTGGTAGCATCCTGGCATCTGAGCCCCCCGAGAGGACTAGGCAGAGTGCAGCCCCCGTGAGCCCAGCAGGCCACTTCGACAGTTCCTCTCCTAAACAGTGTGTAAGCCTGACCACCAGGGAATCAGGGACTGAGAGAAGATGGGCAGCGAAGCAGCCTGAACTCTAGCTCCTCAGAGGGATTCCAAACCAAGTCTCGAATTATTTCTGGGAGTAGATAGGTCAAAATAAATGTATCCAAACAACAAAATCATGCAAAGGTGGAAACACACTGCCTTGGAAAACGATGTGCTCTCTTGTCACCAGCAATATCCAAGGTGAACTGATCACCTGCCTAGAATGCTACAAACAGGCCTGCGGCATCCAAAGATGGCTGAACTGAGGACTTTTAAGTCCTCTGTGGGCGCTGAAGACGCCATCATCTCTGCAGCTGGCTGTGCTCAGAGCGGCTCAGGCCTTCCTCTAGCAGGGCCTTTCTCTGGTAGGGTGCTGCCTTGTCAGTATTATCCTTCTCCTAGACCCCTCCAACCTGCCCAAAGTAGAATCAAGAGCTAGGAGTGGAGAGGTTTGTTTTGTTTTGAGTGTTCACTGTTCTATTCCCAGTGGCTAGAATTAATAATTCAAAACTCCCAAAATGGGGACATTTGTCTTAGTTCCTAAATATTACATGGTTTTCTCTTTTTCTTCTGGTTCAGAAATATAAGAACTCTCTCGCCAGGTGCAGTGGCTCATGCCTGTAATCCTAGCTACTTGGGAAGCAGCGATCAGGAGGATCACAGTCCAAAGCCAGCCCCGGGCAAATAGTTTGTGAGTCCCTGTATCAAAAACATCCAACACAAAACAGGGCTGGTAGAATGGCTCAAGTGGTAGAGCACCTGCCTAGCAAGCATGAAGCTCTGAGTTCAAACCCCAGTACCACCAAAAAAAAGCCAAACCAAACCAAAAAAAAATGTGAAAGCTCTCATGTGATCACACATTTCCTAGGTAAGGTGCAGAGATTTAAAGAGGACATTATTAATTCACCCACGAACACTGGCATAGTCTGAAGTTAATGCTGAGCAGGTCCCCAGAAGCAATCTCATCATTCTCTAATGGCAAAAGGTGCTACAAGTTGGGATCCTCTTGACTAGCTGCAGAGATAATGATAAGCAAATGTTACCTGAATTGTCAATGATTTGGAGTCCTTCACAGATCCACCTGCTGTGTTACATAATGGTTTCCCTTTCATTTTGCACTCTTTTGAAAATGTTCTCAAGGTGTCCTCAAATTCAGCAAAATCTAAATACTATAAAAAGAACAGAAACAACAGCAACAAACAACAACAAAATATTCCAGTTAAAAGATGGGCAAAGGCCCTGAACAGACATTTCTCCACCAAAGCCTACAGAAGGCCAACAGATATATGCAAAGATGCTTTGTACCACAACCATTAGGGACATACAAATCAGCCCACAAGGTGGTGTCACTTCCCATCTGTGAGAATGTGTATTACCAAAAAGACAAGGGTGAACACTACTGGCAAGGAAGGAGAGAAAAGAGAACACTTTTGCACTGCTGGTAGGAATACAAATTGACACAGTCATCATGGAAAATGTATGGTGGTTCCCCCAAAATTTCAGAATAGAACTATCTTATGATCCAGCAAGAATACTTCTGCGTATATATAGAAAGAAAATAAAATCAGCAGTTCAGAGAGACTTCTGCACTCCCACGTTCACTGCAGAAACATTCATAATAGCCAAGATATGGCATCAACCCAAATATCTACCAACAGATAAATGGATAAAGAAAATCTCTGTTGTTTTCTTTTTTTTTGAGACAGCCCAGGCTGGCCTTGAGCTCTCAATTCTTCTGCTTCTGTCTCCTGAATGCTGGGATTATAGGCATGTACCACTATTCCCAGCTGTAACTCTCTATGCTAACATATTACCAATAAATCAATATTATCACAGCTTATATGGGACTGGTGAACTGTCAGTGAACTGCCATCTTTCAGAAATGCAATTGGAATACAGCTTAGAATTCAATCTGTAGACACTCTAAAAGCCTAGAAAGACAGTGTAACAGAAAATGTTTGCTTTCAGAAAATAGAAATTGTTTAAGAAGGAAAATGTGAGTGACATACAGTCATTATTCAAATAAAATGACATGTGCAGCAGTCTGAAAAAGGCAACCATGGTTAGCAGAAGGCCTGATGGCTTTCGGTTTAGCTCATCCTTGGGGAGTTGCTATTTGAAACAGAAACAATCAGAAATAATGCCTGTTGAACTGGTGGAGCAGCTCAAGTGGTAGAGTACCTGCCTAGCAAATGTGAGGCCCTGAGTTCAAACCCCAGTATGGCCAACAAAACAAAACAAAACAAAACAGAAGTAATGTCTGTTGCTAAGAACAGACAGTAAGTCACCAGGGTGCCTCAAGCACAGCACACATGGTCGCTGCCCTCCTGAACAAGTGCTCTGCATTATTCTTCACACATTTGCTTCCACCTCCTGTAACTGTGGTTATGTCCCCTGGCCCAGTCCACAGTGCCTGCTGTGATAGCTCCAGGAATTGATCTGCCACCACACCAGTGAATTGCACAGCTGCACTTCCAAGGTGCCACTTCCTCCTCCCGGTCTCTCAGGTCTAATGCGCAATTTAATCACACAGTGGAGCAACAATTATTTCTGCAGCACTAAAAAAGTTCTCCAAGTTTTGGGTAATAGGCAATGAGCTAAAGTTCCAATGCAGCCATGCAGTGAAACTCTGCAGGACTCAGAAGCATGAGGCAGACCATGGGAAGAGCTCACGCTTTATCACTGTTGATGCATAAAGGCAAGTGATGGAACAATGTGTACACTATCACGCCGTTTCATAAAACAAAGTGCAGTGGGAGTATACACTGACTATTCGGGGAGTCTGGGAAGATAACACGCTTTTAATAGCAGTCACTGCAGGACAGAAAGCGGGACATCCCCTGTTGTACCTCTACTTGTTTCAATCTCTCACTTGAGCATCTGTTGTCTTTATAATTTTCTATAAAGTTTTTAAAAGTGATTTTAAGATTTCAGTTGAGGTATATAAATGAAATATAAGGCACAAAAAATTATATAGCAGAAAATAGATTAATAGATCCAACATAGTAACAGAAAAAGCACTACATGGCACAAAGAATTTGCTGCTTGCCTACCTATCTACCTGTCTGTCTATGTGTCTATCTATATTGGGGTCTCACTATGAACTCCAGGCTGCCCTCAAACTCATGATCCTCCTGCTTCAGCCTCCCATGTGCCATTTGCCCAGCTTGTTACATTTTAAAATACCCATTTTTCTGTGACCTGCGTTTCATATAACATACATACCTCTTTCACTAGTCCGAGTAATTCAGACTCGTGAGCCAGAATATCCCCCATGGTGAATTGTAACTGGTAAAAATCTCACAGCAAAAATCTCTGCAAGGCAAAAACGTAAGACAAAGGTTTCATTTCAGCCACCTGAGATATGGCAAAAGGGTGGCAGTGGTAGGTGAAATAATGACCCCCAAAGATGTCCACGCCCTAATCCCAGAACCTGTGCATGTTCTAGGAGGTTCCACAGCAAGGGGGAACGAAGGTTGCATCTGGCACTGAGATGGCCTGTTAGCTGACTTTCAATCACAGAGATAAGCCTGGGTTATCCAGGTGGGCCTCAGACAATCACAGTGGGGAAAAGGGAGATACAAAGGCCAGGGTCAGCGCGATAGGATGTGAGAAGACTCAGCCAGACCCTGCAGGCTTTGAAGGTGGAAGAAGGGTCACAGGCCACAGAGGGAAGGCAGCTTCCAGAGGCGGGAAAAGGCTGGGAGCTGCCCTTCAGAGCATCCAGGAAGGAACACGGAAGGAACACCTGGATTTTAGCAGATGCATCAGAGTCCCCCCTTCCCCAGGCAGAAGTCAGATAGAGTCCTGTGTGTGGCTATCTACATGAAAGGCCCACTGCAGACTTTGGACTTCAGAACTGCAAGATACTGAACTTGCACTGCTTCAAGCCAGGACGGTCATGGGGATTTATCGAAGCCCCAGTAGGAAATAGAACTGCCAATGGCAAAAAAGTACTTCTTTCTACTGTTCCTGCTGCCCAGACCCCAGGTGCACCCACAGCAGCAGTGCTCTTGGCCCTCCTCCTGGGGACCTCTCTAGGCTGGTTGTCGTAACTCCAGGGGAGTTAAAATGCTGGGCTCTAACAGTGAACTGCACACCATTCACTGGCAAAATCACTGAAATGCAGAGTCTTCCTCTGTAAGGTAAAGCAGATTTGACCAGGTCTCTTGCAATTCTAAGAATGCATGAGTCTAGAACCTTACACTTTCCTTCCTGCCAGTGGATTTGATTGAGTGATCTGAACACAGATCAGATTGATGCTGTCTCACTGTCACTGTCTTGGAGTCTCATCTCTCTCAAGGCGAGGTAACAGCATCTCCCCTCCTCCACTTCAATCCAATGTCTACCCTATGGAGCAATGGCCCTCCCCACCTGCTTAGGACCACCCGGAGTTCTCGGACCCTCCAAGTGAAGGTGGACTCCTTAGGCCCAGCTCAGATTTCTCCACTGCTTGGCCTCCTACCCTCCTTCCTTTGTTCTGCAGACCTGAGCCACCACACAGATCCAGAGGTCAGGGAAACTCACTGGACACCCACAGCACATGCCTGACCCCCAAAGACTTGCATGTACTATCCCCTCTTCACTGCTACCTTCCTGCAAATATCACCATCTTACTCAGGTCTCTGCTTAACTGGCACCTCCCCAGAGACTTGCCTGGTACTCTGTATTGCTGTATTTTTCACAGCAGCCCTGGCCACTGGCTGATTTCACATTCACACACCTGTAGCAGAACCCCATCAGAGATCAAATCAAGTGTTCGGTGTGACTACAAGCAAGATGTCTATTAGACAACCAAGAGGAGGTGCCGGTAAGGTGGGTGGACATCCGAGTCTGGAGCCAGAGGGAGAAGCAAGAGGCAGGGATGGGGAGAGATGGGTGCTGGGCAAAGAAAGGGATGAATTCAGAGATGGGAGGAAAACAAGAACCAATGTCATTGGCTGAGAGTAAGAAGTAGGTTGAAAGTTTGAAGAGAAAGGAAGATGGGTACCAAACTGATGATGGCAATGTGGCAGGATTCTAGTACTGTGAGGCCATGGAGGCTACATGGACTAGAATCTAAGATGACACAGTCTGCAGTCTCTTGATTTCTTCCTGTTCTTTCTCTCTCTCTCTCTCTCTCTCTCTCTCTTTCAACTGTTGTGTTCAATTTGGCTTTGTGCTTGCTAGACAGGTATTCTACCATTTGAACCATGCTCTGAGTCCCTTTTGCTCTTTTTTTTTTGAAGATGGGGGTTTGAGCTGGCCTTGAACCGGGATCTTCTGCATCTCAACCTCCCAAGTAGGAGCCACCATACCAGGCTGGTCTGGTTATTTTTGACATGGGTCTTTCTTGATGCCCAGGCCAGTCTCCTGTTCATGCTTCTCCTCCCATTCATGCTTCCTGCACAGCTGAGATGACAAGTGCACACCACCACTTCCAGCTTTTATTGGTTGAGGTAAGGTCTTGCAATTTTTTTTGCCCGGGCTGGCCTCCAACTGAGAGCTTCCTGATCTCTTGCTCCTGTAGCTGGGATTATAAACTTGAGCCACCACACTCGGCTTCTCCTGGCACTTTCACAGCTGTGTTAGGTTAACCAGGTGAGGGTTTTCTCACTGTACAACAGTGATGGGATTTGGAAGGTAAGCTAGGTAAGCATGAGGGAGGGGAGCCAATAAGGGGACTGTACACAGTGAAAAGGTGACAGGGTCAAAGCCCTGCAACAGGGGGCACACTGAAGTGACTTGGAAGACAGAAGGTAGAGGACAGAGTGGGAGGAGTGCTTGAAGAGAAGCTTTGGAGGCGGCACGGTAATAAAAAGCTCAGGACCACAGAATGGGTGGGCAGGAGGATGGAGGGGAAGATAATGGAAAGCAAGGATGGGGAAGTGGCCAGGATGGTGAAATCTCTGCGAGGGGACCAGGAGCCTTGCCCCACAGGTGACTGCAAGGAGGGGTGGTGAGTGCCCGGCATGAACTTCAGAGGACTTCTGGCTGTGGAGAAGGGCTGGTGACCCAAAGCAGCAGTGAGAAGCAGGTTCCTCCAGGCCTGCCAGATCCCCACGTGGGAGAAGCCCAGAGCTACTGTTTGAGGCCCAGCACCTCTCCAACCTTCCTCTGAAAAACCACCCCCCACCCTTTCCCTCCGGCTCCTATCCACCTCTCTCTGTCAGACCCTGTCATGAGTGACCACCAGTCATTCCCCACACAACTCACTCTCTGTATGATGGGTGCCCATGCTCATGGGCAAACTAGACTCAACCATTCTTTGTGCAGACTTGATCTGCAATTAGTCTTCTATGAACTGCCCCTCCCTTCCTTCCCTGTCAAGGCAATGCTTTCTCCTCAGGGGTACTTCTGCAACATACACCTACTTCCACTGTTATAATTACAACCCTGTTTACAAAGGCAGAGCTGCATTTGTGTATTCCCAGAACCTAGCAGAGTGCCTGGGCAGCAAAACAGGTAGCTAGACATTGTCAAATGAATGAAGCCCAAGAAGAGGGAAGGGCATTTTTTAAGCCCCTGGGATAACAATATTTATTTTTTAAGAACTTGAACCCTTTCCAACCTCAGGGCCTTTGCACATATTGTTCTGTCTGCCTGGAACACTTTTCCCCTTTCTTCACTTGGCTAACCCCTATGCTTATTAAATGTCACTTTCTTTTTTCTTTTTGTGATGCTGGAGACCCAACCCAGCACCTTGTGCATGCTAGGCTTTACCACTGACCTACATTCCCAAAATGTCACTTCTTTAGAGAAGCCCTCCATGCCTAGTTTGAATAAGATTCCATCATGATCAACTGTCAGTGAACATGGCCCACTGCTGGGTATTTCTCTGACATTGTTAGAAATCACAGAATTGCATCTGAAGCTTTCTGTAATAAAAGGTGTGGTTTATTGAGGGTTCATGATATGCCAAGTCTGTGCAAAATGTTTCACTTTACTCTGCACAGGTGAGGCAACTGAGGTTCAGGGAGGCTGACACACTCCCATGGCCACAGCTCCTAGGCAGGAATTTAAATCCATGCGGACATTAACCACATCAAGTTTGGACCATCTGAATCAGAATCAGGAGGAAAGAGTGTGCAGTTGAAGACTCCTATCTCCAGACTTGTCTTACAGAGCACCAAGGAAGGCACGGTGCCCAGAAATCAGCTTTTTAAATGAGCTCTCTAGATGTCTACGCACACTCAGGTTTGAGAACAGGGGCTCTGCGACATGCAGAAAGCAGGGAAAATTTCAGGCACACTTCCAGTGGAGATGGCAGCTTCTGAATTTCCACGTGAGAGAGATTTAGGGCCTAGGAGCTGGCTGGTAAGAGGACGACGGGTTCGTACAGCAAGCATCTTGTTTCTCCTCAGATTAGGTGAAGTCTGGGCGTGACCTGGGTGCCCGGTCACGGGGGTAACTGATGGGGCGGGGGTGTCTAAAAGTCCCAAGTCACCCGCCTGAGCCAACACTACTCCGTGGACGACTTGGGGGCCCCTCCAAGTTTGGTCCACGGCAGCAAAGCTCAGGCCTGCTTGCGGGAAGCCGCAGGGACTCTCCTTGGGATGTCCCGGCAAGCCCTGCAGGATTCGAGCCCTGAACCTCAGGCTTGAAACGGGGCGTCAACGTGGGGCTTCCTCGGGGTCAGGGATCAGCAGAACCTCGGCCCTCCGGACCCACAGCGGCTCCGTCCCGCAGGGGGACAACGGGCTCGGGGTGTCCCGGCCGCGTCATGGGGGAAGCGCTTACCTGCTGCTCCGCGGCGGACAACTTGCTCATCCGGCCCGGCCGACCCTTCTCCCGCCGTCACCTAGGCAACCGCCGCCTCCGTCACGTGGGGCGGCGCAGCCAATCGCGGAGGGCGCAGCCAGCGCGGAGCAGCCTGGGAGGAAAGGGGCTCCCCGAAACTGGCTAACGGCGGAAGTGAGCACTCACCGCCCGGTGGCGTGCCCCGGACCGCACGCTGGGACTGAGCATCTCTGGTCCTCCTCTCGGTGACTGCCATTCATTCATTCATTTCTGCAAACGTTACGCCCGGCGCCGTGCCGGGCCGTTGGGCCTCTGGGGACATGGGCCCAACCCCTAACCTCAGGATGCTCCTCGTCTCACAGAAGACAAAACCGGTCACGACGCCGGGTGCGGTAGTTCGGTTTATAATCCCAGCTACTCTGGGAGGTGTGGACGGGGAGGATCCCGGTACCAGACCAGCTTGGGCAAAAAATTCTTGAGACCCCATCTCAACCAGTAGCTGGACATGTTGGCATGTGCCTGTCATCCGGCTGTGTGGGAGGGGTACACAGAAAGATCAAGGAGGCCCAGGTCGCCAGGAAATAAACATGAGACTCCCATCGCAAAAACAAAGCAAAAAGGGCCTGGGGCGCGCTCAAGTGGTAGAGCGCCCGCCTAGCAAGCGCAAGGTCCTGAGTTCAAACTCCCGTCCCCCCCCAAAAGGCAACAACAACAAATAAACCTCCACAACTGGTCACTAGAGTACCGCAGCAACAGCTTCCAGGAATTTTTTAAGACCCTTATTTTTTTCCATGTGACTTTTTGGTTTTGGATTTTTTTTTTTCTTCTTCTTTTTGGGTACTAGGATTTGCTAGATAGTCGCTCTACCTCTGAATCATGCCTCCAGCCTCGAAATTTGGGTTTTTAAAAAACAAAATAGAAACACAGGTCTGACTTTTTGAACTGAAATTCAGCAGCACTCAGCTCCTGCAAATGGCTTAACTCTGCCTGGAGGCAGGGAAGATTGCTCTAGAAGGAAAAAAATCCCTCGCCTCCCTTCCTTTCCCCTCCAGGTGTTAAGGCAGTGCAGTGGGAAATCTCCTTGCCTCCATCTGCAGGCCTCCTAGAGGCTGGAGACTACCAACAGCAGAGACAGGCAAGAGGGCATGGAGAAGGGAGGTAACCTTGCCTTTGAAGAAGCCCTAAGGACTGGGACCATCATCTCCTGCGTTCCCTGTTCTGCTAGTGTTTTGATGAGAGCTGGGGTTGTCTTCAAGGCTGTATCTAGCAGGAAGAAAGTCCTATGTTCTATCCAGGTAATATGGTTTGAAATTATACTTTTGGATATAATATCAGTTGATACTTATTGTCAGTACAACTGTGTGCTAAGGGTTACCAGACAAAATACAGGACAAGTTTAAATTTAAATTTCAGCTGGGTGTGGTGATAATGCCTCTAATCCCAGCATTCAGAAGGCTGAGGCAGGAAGATCATCAGCTGAAGGTCATTCTGTGGGCTACACAGCAAGACCCTGTCTCAAAAAAAAAATTAGATATCTTTTGACGTAAGTTTATCCCAAATATTGCCTTATTTTATTGTGCATATTATACTGCTTTTCATTTTTATCTACTGAATATGCAATTCTATGTGTGCCCAGCATCATACTAAGCAAATTATATGTGTGTTGTATATATCTCTCTATATCATTTTTTAGCAGTACTGGGATTTGAACTCAGGGCCTCATGCTTGAAAAGCAGGTTCTCTACCACTTGAGTCACTCCACCAGCCCACATAAATTGTTTCATGTAATTCTCACCTCATATCTGTGGGATGGAGAATAGCTTCAGGATTTTACAGATTGACAAGTGTTATGTGTTGTACTTCACCTGCACCCTGTGCTCCTGCAACACAGCCACGGTTAACAAATCCCACCCTTTTGAGTTTTGGGAAGCATCTGAAGATCGTCACTCTTTCTCACAAATCCCAGAAGGCTCACAGACAACAAACCCCTTGTTTTCCTATGGCAAGGACAAATACAGACCTTTGTCTTTCTGTCTGAACCTGCTGACAAGGCCAGCCACAGACTTTTTAATTTTTTTGGTGGTACTGGGGTTTGAACTCAGGGCCTCATCCTTGCTAGGCAGGCACTTTACCACTTGAGCCACTCCGGCAGCCCTTTAATTTTTAATTTTTGTTTATTTAGTTTTGCAGTTCTGGGGATCAAACCCAGGGCCTCATGCATGCTGAACACGTGCTCTACCACTGAGCTGCATCCCAGCCCAGCCCAGACCTTTCAACTTCCTGTTCTTTGTCTCACTGTTGATTAGCTGAGATTTGAACTGTTTGTAAAATCTCTGCCCCCTCCAAAAAAATTTGGTCAGAGATAAGAATTTCCTGTTGAGCCAGTTGCCTGAGCCTTCCACTAATTGCTAAGGCCACCTGTAACCAGTCCACCCCTCCCTGCTCAACTCTAAGGTGAGACACTCTGCTGCTCTCCTCATAGCAATAGCCTGAGTGAAGTCAATCTTCCTAATTGTCCAGCTTTTGTCTTTGACAGAATGAACATCATGAAGCACAGAGAGGTTAAGAAATTCCTCAAAGTTCACCATGCTGGGGAAACCAGGACTAAACACAGACTTTTGTGCCTGTGAGCCCAGTGCTCTTGCTTTGATTTCCCTTGTGAGCTCATTTGTCTGACGTCAGGATTATGATAACTGCAGTGGCTATTATCTTTATGTGCCCAGTACTCCTCCCCCTTTTGGTAACACTGTGGATTCAGCTTGACATGACTGCAGCCATCTCGAATCATAACTGCCATGATTGCCCCTGAGTAACCTGCTTGGTTTTCCCTGCGTACTATAAATAGACAAAAACATGAGAGTGGTATGTGGAGCTTTAGGACTGGACCTTGATGCCAGGAATGTGCCTGACTTTGATATTAGCCTGAGATAAACCAGGTACATTCTGACTTGGATGGAGTCACTTTTGTCCTGACCACTTTATAAGTCCCCATCTTCTAACCCAAATTGTAGAAATCTACCTGGTCTTGCTGCCACCCAGAGCCATGCTTCTGTCAGAACTAAAGACATTCTTATCACCTAGGAAATCCCAAGGGATCAGGAGATCTGTACTAGGAAAAGGGAGGTGGTCAGAGGCCAAATATATTTTATTATATCAATGAAAAGTGGTTTCAGTAATGGGGGATTCTTTCTTCTAACAAATCCGATTTCTTTCTTTTGGTGGTGCTGGGGTTTGAAGTCAGGGCCCTGCACTAGTTATTCAGGTACCCTGTCACTTGAGTCACACGCCCAGCCCTTTTGCTTCAGTTGTTTTTGGGTAGGTCTTGCATTTACGCCCTGGCTAGCCTGGACCGTGATCCCCTACTTAAGCCTCCCATGTAACTGGGAGGATAGGTGCACAGCACCGTGCCCACCTTTTATTGGCTGAGATGGCGTCTCAAGAACCTTTTTGCCTGGGGTTACCTCAAACTGTAGTCCTCCCGGACTCCACCTATTATGGTGCGAGTCCCTGTACCTGGCTCAATGGTAGCTTCTTACAGCAGTTCCAATTGTCAAGGATCTAGGTTAGTTTTGGAATTGAATAATCTTTGTGAGTGTGGATTATGCTGGAACAAGTAGCTATAGCTTGATACAGTTAATAAACATTTAAACTGCCATACTTCCTTAGTTAGAATTTCATTTAAGATTTCCTTCAAATCCTGGAACACTTATGTGATGCTTCACACAAGCATTAAGTTGGAAAATTTTCTAAACCAAATTCAGTATATTTAACCTGTTTGATAGGTCTATGTGTGAGTACAAAGAGTGTTTGTGTCACAACAGGCACAAAGTCCGGTCTGAAGTTGTATGTTGTAGGGATTCAGAGCAGCACACTGAGCCAAGTGGGCCCACCTCCCCATTCTTACGACCTGACAAAACACTCATCTGCCTCATGAGTTCTTGTTTGGCCTCCCCGGTTTTCCCAAAACAGGACACATACTGTCAGTGGGCCCATGATGGCTTTCTAAAATATTTAATTATAAAATTTTCAAATATATGCATAAGTAGAGAATAGTTGAAGGAATCTCCATAAACCCATCACTCAGATTCCAGGATTATCAAGATATTGCTGCTGGGAAAACTTCACCTTAAATTAACTCTTTTGATATGTAGACCACTTTAGCCAACGTCTTCAGTGTGCACTTGGACATCAAAGAGACTGGCTGAGCTCCTTATGCGGTGAGGAGGGGACACATCTGAGTCTTCTGCAGCAGAAAGACCTCTGTGGGCCCCAGCCCTGAGCACTTCGGGATGGGAGCCATGCTTCTCTGTGGCATGCTACACAGCCCATGAATTCATCTTTGCAGCTATAGCAGGCAACTGCCTGGCTGCTGTCTCCACTGGAGGGCAAAGAACTGAGACCACACGCAGAGAGAGAGAGAGAGAGAGAGTGCTGGTAATTGTCACCCCCTGAGTGAGATGAAAGGTGAAGCCACTTAGATTAAGCCCAGTAAGCCTGACTGGCCCTGAAACCAGCAGCGGGTTGGGTTGTCTGAGCTCCTGCAGAGGGAGTCCAGACCAAGAAAGAGCCCATCTCTGGGCAAACTCAGGCCTGGATCCCATCATTGGGATGGAGGAGGAACCCACTGAAATCCCTGGCATCAATCTAGAGATGAATTACAGTAAGACACTGCTTAGGCTAAAAATATTTCCTTCCAGGAAATTTAGGTTTGGGTCACCGCTCAGGCTCATGATGTGATCGGGTGTGGTGGTGTGCAACTGAGATCCCAGCACTTGGGAGGCTGAGGCAGGAGGGTCACAAGTCCAGGTCAGCCTGGGCTTCATAGCAAGACTGTCTCCCAACACAATGAAAACAAAAAACGAACTCATGACGTATGGGGGAATCCAGTCCATCTGAATGTGGGAACAGGGGTCTTGATGTCTCCCAAGGACTACTTCTCCCACACCACTTCCCAAAGCTGTTTATTTCACGATGCTGAGGTGTCTTGAAGGAGAGCACTGGCGGGGAATATACCTAGCCCCAGACAGCTGTTGGTAAGAATGAAACGGGACATCTGAACGTGGGG